AAACTTCATTTTCTGTGTCTACAACTGTGCAAGCGGCGATAACAGAGTGCAGTCGAGAAGCGGAAAATCCTGATAGCCTCTAGCGCTTATTGCCGATATTGTTCACGTGCATACAAGAATTAAGGGGCGAGGAGGATGCATCATGTGTATGAAGGAGAGGAGAAAATCACCCCCTCGTCTTTGAACGCGGAGTGGTGAGTGGCCCTTTAAGAGAGCTTTCAGTGGAAGGCCGCAAGTGGTGAATAAAAGGCGATGCAGGGAAGAACGGTAGACATAGACAAACGCACATGAGCGCTGACTATACCAACTGATTTACTGTTCGCGACACATTGGTGTGTACATCACTTGCTTCGTCCTCCAATTTGATTGATTGATTGATATGTGGGGTTTAACGTCCTAAAACCACTTTATGATTATGAGAGACGCCGTAGTGGAGGGCTCCGGAAATTTCGACCACCTGGGGTTCTTTAACGTGCACCCAAACCTGAGCACATGGGCCTACAACATTTCCGCCTCCATCTGAAATGCAGCCGCCGCAGCCGGGATTCGAACCCGCGACCTGCGGGTCAGCAGCCGAGTACCTTAGCCACTAGACGACCGCGGCGGGGCTTCGTCCTCCCGTTTTTATGCGTAGTTTCTGCTGTCGTGTTTCCCTGGTCATTGAATAATTTCCACACTTTCCATCATCATAAAGGTGCTCAAAGAACAAGGGCTTTTTTGTGGCTCGAGCAAGCGTTCGGTATGCTACAGTTGGCTATTCACTGTGTAGTAGTTTTGCCTACGTTAATATCACCGTAAAGACGCTCGAAGAACCAGAGGAATACCTCTATTTGCCGCGAATGCACTCTGAATATTGTACTGCATTCGCTCAATCTAGTTCTGCCTGCGTTGCGTCAAGTGAGGACCAGAACGTACGGCAGCCTTGCCTCCTCAAGTATTTCGCACTCAATAGATCAAGAAGGAACGCACGAACGAGTGCCGCGCTCTCAGATATATTCTCACGAAGCAGCAGACCGAAGGAACAGCTGAGGAAATTCCATCGCCCTCATACATATCGGCTTGGCCCAATGTCACCATTAGGGCAGCGCACGCCCTCCAGCGTAAGTCAGGCCCGTATTCGGAGCATCTGTCATTGCTCGGGGGTTCTGCCGTCGTGATGTGTACGTAAAAGGAAGTGGTAGCCTGGTGGGTCGCCGACGCGACGACTGGCATCGGCGGCTCAAGTGTTCGCCAAACCGAAGGGGCAGCGCCCCGTCACTTGGGCGCTCGTAATGGGCGTCTGCACTCAGACCCCCTCCGGATTCCTATACGAGACTACAGCTAGACAGTGCAACGACAGCGCAACGTCGCGCTCTCTATAAAAGCGTCAGCATCGTATTGATGCAGCTGGCAGCGCGAGAACGTCTCACACCACTCTCGCGAAACGTTCTTGATTCACTGCCAAGTCTGTGTACGGAGTCGCTACAAAGATTTCTCCTCGACCATCACTTCGTCTCGGCTTTGTTGCACTGGAATTACTACGTCAGCCATTTTTTGTACGCCTCCCTGATGATTAGTGCAGGTTGTTAGCACCCCGTTGAAAGAATAGTTTGCACTTATATATTCCCACAGTGGTTTATAGTTGTTACGGAGCTCAACTGCAGAGCCGAAGGTCGTGGTGCAGAACCCCGGCCGTGACGACCACATTTCGATGCAGAATGCTTGAGGACCATGTAGTTAAATTTAGGTGCACTTTAAAAAACATCAGACAGTCACAATTTTTCTCGGACTTGTCCCCATCAGAATCACCATAAGAATGCCAAAATAACCATACCGATGTTAAGAAATGCATCGGTAGATTTTCGTGAAAAAAAAATAGAATTTGAATAGAAAAAAAAATCTCGCAAAGTGCTTTCTTTCATTTCCTTACAATTTTCATCTACTTCCTGTAACCCTACATTTTTTTTCATTTTTTCACCGATTCATCGCAAGAACAAAGCTGGCATGCCATTAGCAAGACAATGCCCACCAAATGCAAAGAGCGTTCATGGGTTCACGAAATTTTAAGGCGATGGAATACAAATGACCAAGCAGCCATAAAAGACAGAAAACTACGCGGAAACGAAAACAGCAGTGGGCGAACATTTAAGACAGCGGAATGTTCAAGCGGCGGCACCCTTTTGTACGAGTTTCGTTCTCCCGTAATTTTGGCTGCTCTTTCTCTGGGTGCAATAAGCATGAGCATAATAGGCGATCTTTAGCGAATTCATCTCTTGGGTAAGAATCATCGTGCGAGTATGCGCGCACGCACACCCGCTCACACACACACACACAACACTATCGGAAGACCCACCCTGTGAATTTATGCCCAGCATCCCGCGTCCCCTGCCTTTATTCGGCTGCTGCGCGAATCGGCCATTAGCACACACGAATGTTTCGTTTGAATTAAAAAGCTGCTCTGAAAAGGAAGAAAAAAATTCTTGACCGTGAACCGCGAAACGTATAAAAACTCTTAGCCATTTCCACGCCTTGAAAGCCGTTGCACAGCTAAGACGTGGTTCCTTTCACTCGATTATTTCAGGTATCTTCTTTCTTTTTACAGAGTCGCTGCAAAGTAATTTCTTTGTTGTTTCTTTATTTGTGCTAGATTCGGTCTGCTCTTTTTTATCTACGGCTCTAGTCCGCGTGGGTTACCCTAGGCATATTTCTCTTATTTTATTATTTCCGTCTCTTTCTCGCTCTCGTTCAAGTCTTTTTATGCCAACCGAAGCCTACATTCTATTATTTCAGGGCCAGCAGAGCCCCTCTGAGTCCACTGTTGGAATGGTCCTCTTTACCTAAACTTACCCCCGTTACTCGCTTTCAGCGCACTCATCAAATCGTCCGCCTTACGGAAGCTTCATCACATGACCACCTTCCCGTCTTCTCATCAGGCCCTTCCTCCTCAACCTCATGCCCTATTACTGCTATCATGACCACTACTGCAACTGCATGCTACCTCGGTGACGACGAAACTCAGATTCGGTGCAAAAACGAACGGAAGGGTGCCAGCGGTGCGCAGTGCCAGCTTGCCACCTCTGTCACGACGGCAAAAATTGTTGAAATCACTACAGCTGAGCAGCTGCAACTGAATTTCAGACATTCATGCGCAAGATACGATATGAGCAAGATACTATAACCCTTTCACACGACAGAAAGACTGGAAGGGGCGAAGAGGGGTATTCACGGCATTTTTTACGCGTTACTATTTCAACGGAGACTTCCGAAGATATTATACGGGAATCTTTATAACGCCGCTGACGATATCAAATAATTCTGTAACGACACAGTGCTGCACCGTTAAAAAAAGAACCATGAAAAAAGACCATTATGCGTTACCGTGCAGGTGTACTATGGCACTAGAAAGGTGCATGCGCAGATGTTATTGCGACAGTCACTATATGACAAACGTACTTTCTTCCGTGAAAAAGAAGAAACAACACAGCTGCGTCGTTCCACTAACCTCCAACAAATGCGAAGTGGTCGTTTCCGATGACCATCCTGCTCGGCTTGCCTCGTTAATCACTTGTCGCCGAAGCACTAGCTTGATTCCCGTCCCTGCCACCCGCGCTGAATGCACTGCCTTCACCTGTTTCATCACCCAGCCAGTTGGCATCACTGCTCTACGTGTAGTTTACGAAGACTCCGAATTAAGGCGTCACATGTAGTGTGTTACCGGAGGTCAGTGCTGCGGAGCGATACCTTTTGTTGTGCTTTTCTGATCATCCACCACTGGCGGCTGGCTGATCGCGTTGATAACAGGGACGGCCCAACACTCTGACCACGGACCGAGCGGGAAACGGGCGAATAACGTTTTTATCAAAAAAGGAATCGTTCCACAACTGCACCTCTGCTTCCTTTCGACGCACGTAACGAGTAGTGGTGGCACACGATGTGGCCGCGAATGGCCAAGCCGTTTTCTCGCTTCAAGATATGTGCTTTCCGCTTCACGATATGTAACTCGAAGCGAGACTGAACAGTGAAAACAACACGATCACTGCAAAGTATAAAAAAACAGCAAAGAACATTTTCATCAACACACTGGGCAAGCTTCGATGATATTGCACATTGAAAATTTTTTTTTAGAAAAGACCTATCAACTTGTGCAACCCATATCACAGTCTTCAAACACCATTTGAAATAACTATAAAGAAGGCTTGTATCTTTTTCTTCTTATTAAGGTTTTAGTGTGCGTCTGTCTGTACTGAAGTTGATGATTTGATTTGTAGGGTTTAACGTCCCAAAACCACCATATGATTATGAGAGGCGCCGTAGTGGAGGGCTCCGGAAATTTCGACCACCTGGGGTTCTTTAACGTGCACCCAAATCTGAGCACACGGGCCTGCGACATTTCCAGCTCCATCGGAAATGCAGCCACCGCAGCCGGGATTCGATCCCCCGACCTGCGGGTCAGCAGCCGAGTACCTTAGCCACTATACCACCGTGGCGGGGCTGTCTGTACCGAAGTAAAAGCCAGTGCATTAATACGTGTGCACTTCAAGGAAAGCGAATGCTGTACAGGCGTAGCCAAAGACTGGAGCCAGCCAGCACGCTATTTCTGACGATGAAGTAAATTTTTTTTTAGTTAGACAGGGACTTGCGAGATTCCCTTTAGTTGAGTTTTTTTTTCTTTGAAAGTACTGATATCTCGCATATTTAAAACCAAATCTATTTAACCTGTAGCTTCGCATGGACGTAAACTGAGATTGTCATTGAGTCGACTGCTGCTTATTGCCACACAAAGCTTACATAGTTTTTATTTCTTTTCACTACAAAAAACCTAATGAAGAATGGGTCCAATAGGTACCGGTAAAGCCGACATGCGGCAAGATACCTCATAGTTCAGAGCCGCCATTAACCTGTGCCGTTCCTATTTGCCGTTTAAATTTGCATAAATTTATACAGAACTGACGCATGCTAATGATATACCTGGCAAAAGAAAAAAAAAAGGTGTAATAAACGTCTACCAATAAATCAAAAAATTATAAATGAGGCTTTTATTTCCTCTACCACATAAGACAAAGCACCTTTCAATGCTGATGCATGAGCCAGCTGGAATTAAATGGATGATGGGGCAACAACCGACAACTAGTGATTGTAAGTGACAATCCGCTACACAATCCCACCTATTTATGTTGCGGTCTTCGTGAGCGCTCGCGCAATCGCAGTGGCTAGCTCAAAGAAACACGTTAGCAGCAATCAAGCAGGTGAAACCACTTTAATGTTTTGCACTTATAAAGAATACCGCCATATATTTCTTAGATTTAAGAGAGCGTTTATGAAGAGCCCGCCTGCTTCAACATACTTGGCACAACGGTCTCATCACCGGTTTCCTATCCTTCACAACACCAGAGTGACGAATAGGTGCGCAGGCTGAAAAGGACATTGAGAACTCGCTCGCTGTGTTTCCGAGCCAAAGTTCTGTATTTCTACCGACGCCATTCCAAGGTATGCAAATGGCCAGAGCCTTAAGCTTATGATTTATTTCATGGTATCCCTGAAACTGGACGTAAGAAAGCAATTTATATTGTGGGCGCTTACTAAGAACGCGCGAACAACATGCACTACGCAGCTCTACTGAATATGGACTCGCAGGCTGCTGGGAAATTCTACCATTTCGTAGACCTAGTGGTCTGTAACCTTTTGACATTGACTGAACCTATAAACCAGCCGTATGCGCGGTTCATCCCATCACTACCATCACATCGGTGTGCCCTTTTTTGAAGTTTCTTACGAGCTCTCTTGCTCCTCAACGAACACGCAAGTTTTAGACAAGTATGCATAAAGCTGAAAAAAAAACTTATCCTTAAAGGATATGAAAAGGCCAAAATAAATACTGGAGTAAAACGAAATGACACAGCTGCTGCCGGCGTATCCACGACAAATGTTGACTCTGATGATGCAGTGATGGTAGTCAATGTAACATTTTACAAAGCCAGTGCGCCGGATAAAGGTGTGTCAATAACGACAGCCAATAGCCCAAAAGAAAGTAGCATTAAACGAAAGCAAAAATAACTTCTCCTCACGAAACCTCTTAATGTTTCAAAACACAAATTTATGGCCGAATTTTAATGGTGTTTTGTCAGACCACTGACCTGTGTTCACAGCTCTAGCAAAAATTAACCTAAAATTAAAAAAAAAGTGGTTATTACAAACAAGGTGCACAAGACTCGGTAGCCTTATTATACACCATCCTAAACACGCAATTAACACTTAAGACAAACACACACTTCAGAACAAGAACACAAGTATTGCTTGTAAGAAAAATATGGTCAGAAGGTCCACACTAAGTCATTAAAGAAGTTCAACAAGTCTCTCGGCAGATGCGCAGTTTTCCAATCTAACACAGTCTCACACGTACAGATAGATGCCATGGCAAAGCTGTCGACGGGAAAACGTTCAGACGGTCCTAGCGGGCACAGAAATGAACACTGTTCGAAAAACCAGCGTACTTGAATGCCGCACCTGAACAGTACGTCGCAGAAGCACCAACCACTTTTGCAGCAAGACTCAAGGAAGAACCAAATGCATGAAGGTCGAATGAAGCTGGAATGCTGGTTTCCGGCCAGAAGCGTCCATCGATGCACTTCCCACTACGCCCAATCAAGCTTCAGATACCAGGCTCAAAGCACAAATGCTTACGTCTTCATTCAGGGTGCTAGTTACCTCGCTTTGCCGGAAACAGCAGTCTTTTGTCTTGAAGAAAAAAGCACACAAAACACACATTGAGCCTGGTTAACACACAGTAAGTCTTCTACCCAGTCTTCGCTCTCTTTCCAGCTGCTTTCATCTACTTCACACAACGATGCGGCCTGACTGGGATTCTAAGGCGTTCAGTTCCACACAACATTGGCTTCCTCATGCCAAAAGTGCATGCCTTGTAAAACACGGAAAATATGTCGAAACTCTGCACTTCAATTTGCCAACAAGTCATTAAGGAAACAAAAATAAACAACAAATACATTTAGAGACACTCCATTTAAGACAGCACAAAGTTCTTCGCGGCATCACACATGTTGAAAATGTCTCTGAGCAAAATATCTCACATTCACAACACCCAGTTTCAAGTCTCAGCGCAATGCCCGACTGTCTAAACACGAAACAGCCGATCAAGCCACTCAGTGAAACGGCCCGGGGACACGCACACAAGACGATGGACAATCCAGAGTCGTTGCCATGGTTAGGCCAACAGAGTCATGAGTGAAGTGCAAGGTCACGGGTATGGCTCCCGAAAGCATGGAAAGATACAGCGGCATTGTTCCGGCGATCACCAATTGGTAAGCGCTGTCTCATTCACGTGCTCGAAGAGCCAGCGTTGGGATGCTGAGTTCGGGTCACACGAGTTCATGAAAATCTCGCGCCGTTCCGCGTCGCAGTCGAGGCAGGAAGCTGTAATGGGGTGGCTGATCTGCTTCGTCGTCTGGAACAAGAAAAAAGAAAGGCAATAGAAATTATAAATTTTCGATTCTTTTACACTGCGAACAGCAAGTTGCCCTCTCGGCGCGAACATAATTTCTAACAAACTCCACAAACACATTTCCCACGTAAACACGTACAGACACGCAGGGCAAGGGAGTGAAAGTGCGATCACAAACCCACAACACAGAAGGCAGCGAAACACAGGCGCTGAGTGTCCGTGTTTTTTGTCTTGTGGGCGTGTGTTCGCACTGTTACTTCTGAGCTGTACAATGAACCAACTCACCCAAAACGAAGTTTTGATGAAGTAGAGGTTTATGATTGAGATAAAAACAGAATGTGTAGGTGACCCTGACCCTCGGTTTAGGTGCCTGGTTGTGGAACACGCGCGCCCGCGTTCCTGTGCTCTGGCGCAATCCTTCGGTTACACCATGTTTCATTGCGCTGCCACAAGCAATCTCGGAGGCCACGTAGAAAAAGGTGTGTGGTTGACATTTGCTTCGCTAGGTGCTGCTACGATCTCAGCTGCCCACCAGAAAAGCATCTGCCCTTTCCGTGCACTTAGTGAATTAGTTTGCACTAATAGACCCTCTTTCCTTGATTGTAAAGCTAGCTTCCCTGCGATCAAGCAGGTCCAACGAATGGCAGCTAGTCCCATCCGCAAACAACACGTTGAAGCGCAGCTTGCGCACGCCATGAAGCGCAAAATTTACACTCGCATCTCTTAATATGCACATGCACAAGAGACAAGCACAACTATGAGCAGCTTGGAGCTCGTCTCCACTTGAGGCCTGGCAGGTGTCACTACTAGCAGGGCCATCAGGCACCGCCGGAAAGCGCACTTGTGAATCATGAAAAGGGTCTACTATCCTATCTTATCTTAAAATCAATTATGTTCCGACGTCACATATTATGCAACTAATTTGAACCAGATCCGTTCATTTCATACCAGTTTTTGTTTTTTAAACAACTTTGTGGACATTTGAAACATCGTAAGTAAGTTATAGACTGCAAATGTTTGGAAAAGAAATAAATACGTGATTCTAACCTAGGACGGTCAGTCTATCAATTCAGCTAACCAGGAGCTGGCGGTAGGCAGCACGAGGGCGAAATAATCAACCACTCGAAACACACAGATAGTATAAGGTGGCGGAATGGTTAGTAAAGGTAAGTTAACAACCATCCATTGAGTAGCACGAAGCTAAAATGAAAGTCATAAGACTTTTTTTTTTTTCAGAAAGAAAGCCTTCCTTCTGAGAACTACGCACAGGTTTCTTTGCGACTTCGTGCTACAAATGACCGCCTGTCAATTTATATTTCTCCACTATTCCGCCGCCCTGCGGGATCCTGCGGGACTCATTTGCAAACAGCGTCACTCGTTGCTCTTGCGACTAAAAGGTCTTTTCCTGCCGTATACTCACCGTGTCATACTTGAAGAGCTGGTTCCCGTGCATTCCGTGGCAGCTCCACAGCACCACGGGTGCCCTGGACTCCGAGCTAGAAACGTCAAAGCAGACAGTGCGCTTCTGTGGCCGGATGTCCTTGTGCCAGGTAAGCACGAACTGCTGCTCTCCCGACTGGTCCCGGTGGTCTCGGATGCACTTCTCCAGCGAGAACCGCTCGTTCTGACCCTTGAACTGAGTGTCGATGCACAGCGAGCTCTTCTCGTGCCGGATCTGCGAAGTGAAAAAAAAAAAAAGAAACGACGACATGACATCTCTTAAAAGGCACCTGACACCATGTTAATGCGAACGGCTCACCCGCATAGGGCGTGTAAACACACGAATGATGATAACGAAAAACACGAGTGACGATGATTACAATAATCATCCGTTCGTTTCTCTGTCCTCATCGCGGGAGTGTGTAATAGTCATCGTCATCGTGTGCGCGCAATCTGCAGCACCCGGCTGCCTGTTCGCTGCTGAGTTCGCGGCCTAAACGTCGTCCTATCTATACGACACTTAGCGGTGGCCTCAACGAAGCTCCGGGGACATGGCAGACTAACAGTAGAACCAACGATTGAAAATTCACTTCCACCACGTATGACGTTTAGGTTAGGACATTTTTTTCAGGCTCCAGAATTGAGTAGAGAACTGATTGATTAATTGAATGATTGATTGATTGATTGGTATGTGGAGTTTAACGTCCCAAAACCACCATATGATTATGAGAGACGCCGTAGTGGAGGGCTCCGGAAATTTCGACCACCTGGGGTTCTTTAACGTGCACCCAAATCTGAGCACACGGACCTACAAGTGAGTAGAGAACTGCATGGCAGCCAGAGACGGAGTGCGGACACACACAATGATCACTGTGACAAAAGGCGGCAATAAGGACGGATCGAGAGATAAACAGATGATAACGATTACGATAATGCCTAAACGAGGACGAGGCGCGTAGCAAACGTCTACAATATAATTATGTGGTACGCTGTTGCGTAGTGCCCCGGAAACTTCGAGCACCCTGGCTTGTATAACTTACCCATATGTTTAAGTTTACGGGCCTCTACCATTTTCACCCTCATTGAAGTGCTGCCGCTACGGCTGGGAGACGTTACCACGATTTTTTTTAACCCCTTGATCCTCTATTTTGTGCGCGCTGAAATCTTGCCATAGTGAATTCCCTACAAAGCCGCTCCGTTTTCATAACTTGTATCTTCAGGTCGGCAAGAGTCGCCAGGTGCGCTTGTTCGTATAGATAATTAGAGCACTTGGTTGCAGCCCCAACTCGACACGAGGACGGTGGAATCAGGGCGCTACGTGAGTGTCTCGTTCATACCTTAATTTCTGCGTCCTTGTGTGGAGTTTACTCTGCAACCAAATACAGGTCGGTCCACTGTTAGAGGGAACACGCGAGCACGTAGCCTGCACTCTGCGGCGGTTGCATACAGCACTATCAACCAAAAGTTGAAGAAACCGCATGCGCTTTCGGCACAGCCAAACGCGATAACGAGTCATGGCCGGTAGGCAAGTGCTGCTCGATTAGGGCCGGTTCACGCTAGCGGCAAGCCTGCCTCGCCGTTCGACGTTCCCAGGCAGCCCTGCAAGGCTGTTTGCTTCGCGCACGTCTGCCGTTCTTCACCGTTCGAAAAATGGGTCCGAGACCGTTTTTTTGTGACGTTTGCCGTTTGCCAGAGATTGGTTCAGCCAATCAGCGACGGAGGAGCAACATGGCAGAGCCGCGTCGTCTGCTTTCGCCTCACTTCAAGCTGCTTGCTTCGCGGCTTTCACGAATGTCGTACGTGTTGTTCACAGACTACGTTCCAGCAGTGAATAGAGCATTTTCGCCTGTCCGGTATTTTAAAAAGCGCACAGCAATTCAGAACGACGTCCCCAAAACAAGGCGTTTGTACAAGTGTCGCCAGCTATCGAGCGTTAGCAACAACAAACAAACATGCAATGTATGCCTTCCGAAATTTGAGAACTTTGCTCAGGCCTAGAAAATCGATTATTTGAGTATGGTTCTCAAAAACGGTGCCGAATCGATTCGAGTGCTGTGTTGTCGTAGCTAAAAGACACGAGTCTAAAGCAAATAGAAGCATCGGTTCAGATCTTACGAGCTACAGAGTGCACGGCGGCCGCTTCATGGATTCGAGGCGGTCGACGACTGCATTCGGAAGGGCAGCAATGTTTGTCGGACGCTGAAATGCCTCGCCGGCGAAGCTTGCCGTGCACTCTCCCGCGGACGGCGGCGGCCGACGGTCTACGGCGTTGGGCCGTTACGGCAGGCTTGCCGATAGCGCGAATCGGCTTTTACACGCCCTCTCCGCTGGCGCAAAGCGCGATGCCTGCCGTGCTTGGATTGCTGCCAACAAATCGAACGTGGTGCGCTGGCACAGCCCAACATCATCGCTATAATATAGTTTGTATTATAGTTGTGCGAGCGGTGAGGGAGGAGTGTAATCTAGCCGCGCTTGTCAACCAGCCACGAATCGTTATCTTAACTGGCAATAGACGACGCCAAAAGGGAACGCATTTTTCTTAGCTGTCGGCTGATGGTGCTGTATGTGCAGCCGCCGCAGAGCGGAGGCCACGCGCTCACGTGTTCCCTCCAAACGCGGACCGACCTGTGCCTTTCTCGCCGACTACGGCAGGCAGTAGACGAGACTCGCGCTTACAAGCCCGGTAGCGAATCGCAGGTGTTAACAGCGACAGAAAAAGAAACCTTTCGACGATGAATTGCACACCGACCTGCAGCTTCCTTTTGTCGGGCCCACTGAGTGAAAGAACAAAAATAGATTACAGAAAACAAAACAAAAACGGGCAAGAAGACCGGGCAACGTCAGCGATAAGAGACGCGCGGCGCCCCCTTTATTAAATTGAAACCTACGCGACGCGACGCGACAAACCAAGTGTGGCAGCTTGGGCTATAGTTGGTATGGCATGACGATAGTTATAGCGCGACAAACGAGCCTCGTGTATATACCTTTTGTTCGCGCGCCAAGCGGGCCCCGCTACGCTATCGCAACAAGCGATCCGACGCGGTCCACGGAATGTCGCCAATTTAGCGCTCGAACGATCGCAAGGTGCGTTCGTTTTTTTTTTCTTTCTTCCTTTTTCTCCTGTCGCCGCAGCCGCCAGCCTCTTTGTCGGGTATCGTTTCCAGTTATCACCTCGCACACTTTGTCCTTTTTCTTTCTTTCCAGTTCTCCGAAAGTTAAAACTGTTTTTTTTTTTTTTTCACAGACCCTTTCGCCGTGCGTCGATGCAGCCTCAAAGCGTGCATGCGTGCGTTTATATATATATATATATATATATATATATATATATATATATATATATATATATATATATATATATATATATATATATATATATATATATATATTGTGCGCGGTAACTTGTTTTTGCTTCTGAACAGTCTCGCGAAGTCTACTAGGTTTCGTAATGAAAACGTGACGCAAGAACATAATGTTATCAAACACGTGCGGCGGTTCGCGTTTGATACGTGCGATCGCAAAAACAATAAAGAAAAGAAAAAAAAGAATTAGACCGTAGTTGGTACGGCGTAAGTACAGGCTCACCGTTAACGTGCACCACCGACGGGAGCAACGTTCTCTACAAATGTTTAAAATGCGCGGTTCCAAAAGTTCCCCGGGCGAGAACACGACGCCGAAATTCCAGATCGGTTATCGAAAGCGCCAGCAACACAAAATTGCTCCCTCAAAGAGCAAGGAAAAACCAAAAACAGCAAAAGAAAGAAGAGAAAAGACCATAATGGAAGCACCCTTTTCATCGCCGCCGAAGAGTAAAGACAGAACAAGTTAACGTTTCGTGCGAAGCCTTTTAGAAGCCTGCTGCAACGAGAGAGATTCATGAATTAAACGATTCACGCGCACCGTAAACGTGCGCCATTAAAAAAAAAAAAGATTTGAACACTCTCTTGTTGGTTTTCTTCAACGCAGTAGGGCATGTAAAGTGTTTGCTCTCATTGAAATAAATACATTGGATTAGAAACCAACGCAGGTGGTAGATGTTATTTATATCAAACCATAAAACTGGCTAAACTACGGCGGGCATGAAACGCTGTTAATTTGGACCTAGTATTTTTTTCTAATTGTTCATACACCACAGATAATTAGGAATCTAGTATAGTTTACATTACACTCATGCAAAAAAAAAAAAAAACGTCGCAAATTACAGGACCGCAAGAGAAAGGTTAGACGAGTGGCGTAAATAATGTACACTTGGCTATATTGTTTCTAGCTGTTAGTATCACAACATCGTTGGTAGGTCGTAACGGTAACGGAGACATATCAGGTCATATACTGGCTAACCTGCAACAACGTGTAGCTACGCAAGCACACGAGCCCCTGCTCACAAAATATTCCCTCGCGGTAAAATAGATCAAAAGTACGCATATGTAAGGCCATTATTAATGTTGCATACATTATGTCCGGCCTCATGAGTCCGGTTATTCCTTTTTTTTTTCATCAAGAATAGAAGAATTGGTAACGTTGTGTTTCGAGCGCTTCGAGTCATTTCTAGCTATGTTTGCTCCCGATAATACCCGGCGAGTTCAGAGATTAAGTACACGAGCCCACATATCACAGAATGAGCGCTCAGCAGAATCACGCAGAATTTTTCATGCGTCTGCTAGTGTTGGTAATCTATACATGCGCAAATTTTTAGTAAATACCAACGAGTGCAACTTGTACTAAGTTACGGGACCCTGTCCGCTTGGCGATTCGCTGCACCGTACTAAGCCAGCAGTGAAAAGAGAACCCCTAGTGTACAGGTAAAAAGAAAAGGGAAATTCAGAAGTGACCCTGTACGTGAAGGTCTAACAGCAATAAAACTACAACTTCTACGAAACGTGCGGGAAAGCAAAACGAAAGAAAAGCAGGGCAGTTAACGAACAACTCAGCATCACAAGCTGAATAGTTCAGAGGTGTGGCCCAACACCGCGTCACTTATCATGCGTCTAGCTCTTCGTAAACAGAAAAAAAAAAAGAACTCAGATAAAACCATGCCTGTAGAAGCTTGCTAAAAGCAAGTGACACATACCCTGCGTGCCAGCAGAGCATCGCTTACGTTGCAACCGCTAGTCACATTATGCGTTAAACCGACGCCTCAACAACGCTGCTTTTGCTGCCTTGGAAGTGGGGATAAAATAGAATGAGAGAGATAAAAAGAGAGAAACGCTGCATACGAGAAACACAGAAACAACTACACTTGTTAATTACCGTAATCACGATGCAAACCCCCCCCCCCCCCTCCCGCCACTGGCTATTCCATACTACAATCACTTCATTTCGAAACAACAAAGTAAGTAAATGAACAAATTGAAAGAATTCATTGAAGAATGAGATAAAGAAATGAAAATAAATAAAAAATGAAGATTCAAAAGACGCCGCTACACCTGGAATTTTCGAAAAATGACAGAAAACGACCGTCCTAGCAGGGCCGGAAAAGCAAAGCAGGGCACTGGGCAACATTCACCGGAAATGCTCGTTCGGTCCCAGCTAAAGAAAAGATGCAACAACTGCACAGCGAGTGCACGACGGTTTTTGCAGCTTGGTCCCTAAGCTCGGGCCCCTAAATCGGTCCCTAAACATCCAGTCAATTTTTAGTTTTTAATTTTCACATTAGATACTGGACGAAAAGTAGCTGGAAAACTTGTTTTATGCGTAGAAATTTTTACCCGGCCCGACTGGTCCCTGTCGAATTTTTTCACGTTTAAACACAACAAAGCAGAGCCTGGAGCATCTTACCGTTTGTACTCATTTTATATTCCCGCCGTAGCAGATCACGTATGTTCGTTATCATATATAGTAGATCGTATATAGCAGATTCGTATGTACCAGATCGTATATAGCAGACTCCTACATAGCATATCACGTAACCAACATACGGGTCTCCCCCCTCGAATGTGCTCGGAAGTAGACGACACCGACTGTAAGAAGCAAGCTCAACTTCCATGTAACAAGCTAATATTATGATACATTTTGGTGTTTTGCGTCACGAAACAACGATATGATACCGAGAATCGGCTTAGTTGACGGCTTCGGAAATTTGGGCCATTTGTTGCTCTAACACGCATCTGAATTGAAACACGGGCCTAGGCCTTATGCATTTGGACACTATCGAAACGGGGCCGCAACAGCCTTGATTTGATCTGGTGACCCACGAGTGCGCAGTCGAGCACCATAAGCACTCGCGCACCGTGGTGGGCCACATATAACAAGTCGTCCAATGAAGAAAGCTGATCGCGGTGTCCTCGCTCACCTCTCCCCACGCGTAGTCGGGCGGCTCGATGGCCGGGTACTTGGAGGGCTGATCGAAGGCCACGTTCTCCATGAACCACTTGAAGGACTTGCAGTTGAGCCGCTTGCGGAGCTCCTTCTGAGCGGTCAGGTCACCGGGTTCCAGGTTGCGGTAGTGAGGCCGCCGCATGTACAGGTACTCCTTGTACTCGTCCATCCACACCTGCACAAAGCGAAGGCCACCCGAGGGCATCCATCTTCACAGCGGTGGAAAGGCTCTGTTTGTTTGTTTGTTTGTTTCGGGTTTTAATGTCGTTCTACTATTGCTCGTTACAATTGAGTGTTATAATATCAAGACATAAATGGGAAAGATGCGGCATGAGAACTACTCATCAACAATCGCGACCTACTAGTTTCTCTTCACTTCGAAACACGCCGTGAAAATCTACGTGATCATTCGTTCGCGTACATTGCCTTCAACAACCTCCATAATTGTGGTGGAACAGCTCTCGGAGCCATCAGACGAGAAAATGACTCTAGTGGTTGCTACGACACGCTCCCCATCCCACTTCCACGTACTTAAAAAAAAAAAGGCGAGAAAATGACCGTCCACAAGACCCGTGGCGAGCCAGCTGTGTCCTCCTGAGCGCGCACGCTTTTACGAGCATCCCATATGCGACGAAACGAAAGAAGCCGTGTTCTCCCAACTAGAAAGTAAAAAAGAAAACGGGACAAAAAAAAAAAAGCCGTCCCGCAGCATCCTTCGCCATCTTGATAAAAAGCCACTCTGACAACTGAGACCAAAAATAAAAAGACTGGGCTAGCTCCCACGCCGTCATGACCGGAACGCGGCGCTGCGACTACGAGGATGCCAGAGGTGAGTTACCACACGCCGCTGTTCTAACACTCGCGATACCACCGGGAAGCTTCAAAATATTTCGTCAATCAGAAGCAGCGCCACCGTCAGACAGTAAACGAAAGCACGCAAGAGTACGGGGCGTAATTTGGGCTGTCCGAAATAACAGAGGGGGCTTGGCGTGGTTAATCACTTTCGACAAGTTCAAGTTAGACACGAAAGTGAAAGGAAGTCGAAGATCAAGCGGCCGGTTGACGAGAATATACGGACGGTATAGCTGTCCTGCTGTCATAAAGTGTACATAACAATATAAACACAGAAGGGGAGGCGGAAAGAAATGTTTCCAAAGACCAGTCCCACAAGAACGAGAAAAAACAGTACGCTAGAATGGGGGCGGAGGGACGCTGAAATGCTCTCTCATCGAGCGTTTAGCGAATGCCTCGTCGTTAATTAATACACGTCTTGACAGAGCCCATCGCACCTCACATACGCCACGCAGACGACGCGACAGTCCTGAAGATTAATTACGCAGAATTAAAGCGAAAGTCGTCAAGTGAGCCAACGATTAATTGCCGTCGCTTTTGGGCATCGTTATTTTTCATCAGACAGGGCGCGAGATGCGGCGAGTGTCGCATTCTGACGCGGCATCGGATTTGCACGGCTCGCGGCAGCTGCTGTTGGGACTCGCGTTATAGCGATGAAAGCATCTCCGCCCGAGAGTCTCTGCGTGGTGTGTCAAGCAACGGAACCGAAGCAGCAGGGGCCATGACGCCATTCCAGCACTAATTCCAGCACAATAGCAGCACTATATAGCACGAATAAACCAAAGACGAAAAGCGCAACGAGGTAAGTAGCATAAACCCGAACAACCTTTTATGGCAATAAAGGGAAGGCCACGGAGGCACAGCTTCTGCGGATGTACTCCTACGCGAAGTACACTACGGTTTGGAGCACGTTTCGTACCGCTGCGAAAAGCGTTTATTTATGCAAAATGTTTCATTTCTCACACACCCCAAAAAAATTATGCGATCGTTAAGTTACAATAACTAGCAGTAGCATTCGCGCAGTTGGACTCCGTAAATTTCATTTTATTGCCAGGAAAACAACGCGAGTAATAGCTTAACAAGGTACCTCGAAAGGGAGCCAAATCCCACCGGGCAATGGCGCTTCTCCTTGGCAATGGTCGAGTTCAGCAGCGATTCACTTGTTTTTGACAAATCCTGCCACGCATGTGAAGCTTATCACTGGTAATCAAGAAATTATGGTCACATCAGCAAAGTCACATGCCATAATTTCGTTGCTTGCTTTAATTACTTCAATTCGGATAAAAAATAGCACAATATTACTAGACTACTGCACCTGTCATTCATTACGAATGTACAGAGGCGATGAAAAAGAGAAACGCGAACATGCGGTACCTACCTTACCTGCTGTTTCACATTTGTTTTCAAGAGCTTGTATCCTAGATGGCGATAAAAAGGCGCTAGAGCCATTCATGGCACAATAAAGAACAACCTATCATACTTTCATTGCCACAACAGCGACGGTGTGATGAAATCAACCAACCGTGCTGCTCGCAATTATTTCCATCCTCGCTGTGCGTAACGCATTGAAAAAAAAAACGAAGAAGTACACTGATATTATTACCTTAATTCCGACAGCCACATTCGGGGAAAAAGGAAGCGCCAAACACTGTGCCACCCGCGGAAGGGGGCGCTATATGAGCACTTCTCTCTTTCAACCATGAAATGTACTCCAGCACTATTATTAGTGTCTTTTCCTACCTTCCTCCAAAGCTGCCACCAGAAAACCACAAACAAACATTAATCACAGCCTGTCCACGGAGTGAATGATGAAGAGTGCGGCGAAGCTCGGTTTGTCCGTCCGTATTTCTGTCGGTCTGTCCGTCCGTCCGTGCGTAATCACTCTCCTGTCACAGTCACCCCCACTCGCAGCGCGCGCATCCACGCCATCTAGTGATCGATTCAGGTACTGTCACAGCGCAGCGCCATCTATTGAACATTGTAAGAAGCAGCCAGAGGTGGCTAGGACTAACAACAATGGAGGGACTGAGCCACAGCTTAATTCGCTCCTAATAAAACGGCAGTCACGGCACACCTACCTCGGCTACGCGCCGGTAGTTTCGGCCGACGAAGTCCCCGATGCCCGGGTTGGGAAACGGGGCGAACTTGCGGTAGATGTGCCCCACCCGGGAGCAGGGCGCGTCCACCATGGTTCCGCCGCACTGCCAGATCTTGAAGGACAGCTCGTACTGCTCGCCTCCCCACACGTCCAGCCCTTCGTCGTAGCCGCCCAGCTCCCAGAAGTAGCGACGGCTGATGGCGAACAGACCGCCGGCCATCACGGGGCTCCTGAACGTACATCAAGTCGTGCTGACCGAGGAAGACGCCAGGCGCCAACACAAGCAACGGATAAGCCCCAGTAAAATGTTACGGGACATGAGGGAAGCGTTTATGACATTCGTAACGCGCTGCGTCTGCATTTAACTTACTATTTTAATACTATGCGAAACCACGGCATACTGGAACGTAAAACCTTGGACAACACGTGACGCAAGAAAGACCAATTGCTGCCAGTAATATTATTGAAGGTGACAATGGCTACATAAAGTCTGCTTGTTCTCTGTAGCACAAAAAAAAACCGCTATCATTTGTTTTATTTACTTATGCTCGTGACGAATGCACCATGCGTGACGCGCACCGGTTCATGTGATCTAAGTTAGTCTACACCGTAGCACGTCAGTCGCACCAAGATCTTTTTAAACATTTAGCAAAACTTTCAATCGGTTTAAATTATAGCAAATTCATTCATAAGCTCCTAGTCTCTATACCATCAAAAGAAGGTACCAAATTTTCTTAATAACACTTTTTTTCGGAGCATGGAGGTTTTTCCTTGTTGATATTTTACTTTGCCGCTACGCCAACGAACGCCTAAGAAATCGTCCCCACCGAAATTACGAAATATTGAACTCAGATAATGGGCTTAAACAGGAAATATTATTTGTTCTAAGACCAATTTATGTTGAATAACTGGAGTTCACTGCTTCGTTCTTTTCAATGCCTATTTAAGTATTTCTACACAAGCACTCCCTTTTCCTATGGTCGTGGTCCCCTTTTCTATGGTCCATGCGACTACACTTAGGCAGGGCGGCAGGGATATGCAATGTTGGGAAGAGTATGTTCGCACTTGAAGGGCTCGGTGGGGTTGGCCAGGTCCTCCGGGAGCAGCGGGAGCCTCTTGTAGTAGAGCTCCCAGTCGAAGGAACCCCGGGCGCCTTCGTCCTGGGCGCGGTAGGCGAACGTCTCGTAGTCGATGACGTCGATGAAGGGGCACACCACGGTGCGGTAGTCCTTGGCGATGGGCTCCAGCAACGGAGGCAGCCAGTTGACGTTGGCCTCGGTGTGCGAGTCGAGGAAGATGAGCACGTCGCCCGTCGCCTGCCGGGCGCCCAGCAGCCGAGCACGGATGAGGCCCTCCCGCCGCGTCGCTCGCACCACGCGCACCTTGTTCCAGTGCTTGGCGATGTAGTCCTCCAGCGGTTTCTTCAGCTGCTCTGCACGGTTTGAAAGGACGGCGGAAGAACAATCAGCGGGTTCAGTTCGCGTTTTGTCGGTGGTCAGTCCCAACTCACTCGGCCCGAGCGCACGACGCGACAGCTACGCGGGGAGCAGCCCATAATTTCACGAAACCGGAGTGCGAACTTCGCAGACATATATGAAACGAGGAAGGTACCAGTCGATATCATACAAAAAAGCGGGCTTCCTACAGCGAAGCTGTCAAGCTTTTCTTCGGTCCGTGCCGTAGTGCACACAGAAACTGTCGTCATGACGAACGGCCCCGACATACGATGTCATCTCGACATACGGGCCAAGTCAGGAGACGCTCTCTCCTTTTGCCCCATTCGTGGGCATTTTTTGTGAAGAATGCCCAAATAAATAAATAAATAAAAATCTCGCGTCACCTTGCAGCTGACACAGCTGCGCCCAGCGCAGGCAACGCAATAAGTTAAATATGGTATATCCCAATGAAGCTAAGACTGTTCAGGTACGCTTAGTTAAGTATATTTCAATTAAGAGGAAGTTCAGCATGATGAAGTTGATGAAAGGTTCGAGTTAAGAAACGCAAGTTTTTTTTTAATATATCTTTTTTGTTTTTGTTTGCTTTCATAAGATTAGGTTCTTACTTTCACGACAAAAAAAACTGAAGATTGTAATTAAGCTCGAATTAGCTTTAAATGTCCTTTAAAGAGAACAAGGTGGCTGGTTAAAAATAAGAGCAGCTCATTGCATAATAGAGTTCCCTGGAAGTTCTAACCTGCACAATAAAAAATCTTACATCCAAAAGGGTGCAAAAAGGGTGCTTTTACTGTAAAGCACCCTTTGCAACACCCTTTAACAACCATTAATGATCAATTTTTAAAAAAAAGCACCCCTTCTTTGGGTACCTGCCTCGAAAGCGCCCTAAATTAGGCTCAAGGGTGCTTTTGTGCCTGAGAAGGGTGTAGGTGACGATGGATGAGATGGAATATGCAGCGAAAGAAGAACACAGAATTATAATATCTGGGGGTTTTACGTCCCCAAAACCACGATATGATTATGATAGGGTCGCCGTAGTGGAGAGCTCCAGAGATTTTGACCATTTGGTGTTATTTAACGGGAGCTGATATCGCACCGTGAACAGGCTTCTATAGCTGATTGCCATTTGATTTGGAATGAAGAGTTCACTAAAGTTACATGTTCACAATAGACATAATTGCCAAGCTCTCGTGATAGAAGAAACCCAATCCTTTCCTTATAGGTGAGCTTTCACCTATAAAATCCGTTTTCCTCAAGATCCTTTTTGGGCAACTTCTTGAGTTTGGACATCATATTTCTGGTACTTCTGATAGCCCGATCGAAATGACCTTTTGCCCACATATTAATTAACATGTGAAGAATGCAAGTACTTTGTTTAAATTTTAATATCGCCTGTATATTTATGACGAACCTAAAGTAAGCAATTATTGTGAGCTGGATATACAAAAAAAAAATCATTGCACTTGGCTACAGATTCACGAAAGTTTTTTTTTATTGCATCTCCTCTTAAGCTTAGTGTACCCTATAGTTAAACTAAGTTAAGAATGATCAAAACACCTTTAGGTCAAAACTAGTTAGGTCTATTTGTTCTGGATTAAGTTAATCTAGCCAAGCTTGTCATTCGTCGCTAAACAAAAATACGGAACCACCGTAGGTTCAAACGCGTACCGCGGACAAGCTCAACAACAAATGACGCGCTACGTACGATTGAATTCTCGTTCCTGACTGTAGTTATTCCTCCTTTACCCTTGTCCATTACATAAATCATGGTTTCCGTTTTCCTAAACACTAATTTGGTCTTAGATGACATAATCAGAGTATATCACTAGTTTTAAGCAAATCCAAGTAACTAACCGCTACGGCAACCTTACTTTTTTCTTTCGTCCTCTTGTCGGCCACCGACTCCCGCCCTCCCTCTCGTACCGCTATACCAACTTCTGCGAAAGATAATGCTAACACTATCGCACAAGTCCTACCGGAGACTTAGAGCACTAGTGAAAATATAGCATTCCATATAGCCACAGGAGGCCATGGTATCTGTGCAAAGCGATGGCGCGTTGGCGCAGCTTTCCCGCGTGCTGTAAAATCTGTCATAAAAGGCGTCGACTTCTTCATTCCCGTAACTATTGTCATTGCTTGCTGCCGTGATATCCTGGACATTTTTGAACAGCGCTTTGATACACTCGCCTATCGCAATTCATCGTCTGCGGCCCCTGCGCGATTTATGCCCGATAAAGGTCAGAGCCATTCTTCGTCGTTTGACGACTCTCTAAAGTCGATTCACTTTCGAGTCACCTCACTTTTTATCACACTGTTTCATCTTCCCCCGTCACGACAGAGCTTCGTCCTTCCACCCGCAGCGACTCTGTTACTCTGGCAGACCATCGATCACAGTGCTTTCCGAATTCGCATTCTTCTTCGTCACTTAAACGGGAACATCGAGCCGCCCCGTTTGTTCTCTGATCGATTTCCGTCTCTTAACGGTCGGATTACAACTTTCTCTTTCAAAATTCGTGACGCTGCATTGATTAGGCGCTAGCGTAGAACTGAGCGAGGCCACACGAAACGCCAGTAAGAGAGCCAGTGAGTCGAAATAATCGAGCGCGTATCATTACCGAACTCAGTCTCCGAAATGAGCGTTTATCGCGCCCTCTGCATAGGCTTTGCGATGCGGCGCCACCTTTTTCTTTTTTTCTTACACGCGACCACAAAAAAAAATATTACAATACAAATCAAGAGTGGCATTTTTCGTATGTCTTATCTCTTTATGGAAGAACACAATCATGTTTGCCGGGTGCAAGCACTGGAACCCAAGTTTTGTAGCGAGATGTGAATAAAATTTCGTGGGTTGTTCCTCGTGGACCAACTTGAGCAGATGCAGGTAATTAATTACACTCAAGTCAAACGAGTACTGGAGCAACAGGAACTATCGTAAATAAAAACAAAACAAAACAAAGAACCATGATGGATACGCCCCACATCCAGAAGGCGATAAGGTGACACTTACTTCAGCTGAACGAAATGAATGAATCTCTACGGGCTAAATTAGGACAACAAGGCCATCCTGATATTACCATGGCTTGCTTCGGTATCATGTTTTTTTGTCATGCCCTCTGTATCTCTGGTTGCTACAGCCCGATCGTTCCTATAAACTTCAGTAAGGACGAAGAAGCTGATGATCGCGCCATCTATACTGGTGAAACCACTTTAGCGCCTTTCTCTGCATGGCGGGAAATATACATACAAAAAAGAACAAATCGACACACCAGCGGACAAGCTGTACGTATAAATAAAACGCGAGAAAGACAGCACGATAGGCCGAGACAAACAGCACTGTGGGAAAGGAACGGGGGTAGCAATTTTCTTTTCTCCATTTTTTTCTTTAGACACTCTTCGGGTCGCTGCATTCTCCGCTGCCGCTGCTATTAAAACAGAGAAATCCCTGGGCCAGGTCGCTGCGATCTCACCCCTCTTTTAAGAGATAATAGCGCCAGCAGCTGTCGCTAATGCAACCGTACGGGCCACGCACCGTGCTTGGATTGTCTACGGCACTGGCCGAAGCGTCGCTTTATGGATCCGTATCCGGCCATCTCCGGAAGCAAAAGCCCCGTCTCGTTACTTTCATCCTCCCGGGGTTACGCCGTTGGCACGACGATGCCTTTTACTTCGGCTACCATGTATTTGTATTTCACTTTTTTTTTTCCTCGATCATCACCCGCACTGCCCATCACCCAGCTACTGATCTTCTTTTTTTTTTTTTTTCATGTGTGCTCCGACAGCGTGTACACCCGACGCCCGTATCACCCTGTGCTCTTCCCACGCGCAGGAAGGAAGTGTGCTGTTGCTTTATTCTCGGTGGAATGTCTACAGAACCCGGACGATGTGTGCTGCTGACCTCGATCCTTCGTAGAGCAAACGAGACTGGTCACGATAAGAAGGATCGATATAGAGACAGGCGCCCGCTGGTTCCTTTTTTTTTTTTTTTTTTGCTTTTAATCTGCCGCATCACCTCCTTTCGCTACTTGCTCGACGCATCCTGTCGGATGACGATAAGCGCGGCCAAGTGAGGGCCCTAGGGGATGATGGATGTCTGCGTATCGTTATGGCAATTTTGTACGCGGGAAAAAGCTTGACAGAAAGAGAGACTTCGCGTGCGCGCGTGCCTGTCCTCACGCAATGACCAAAATGCGGGCTTTTATCGGTTTACTCTTCATTAGACACTGTGTGCTTTGCCACAGACTTTGTTTTACAAAGTGACAAAGTTACTTTACCTCACATTTACAGCTACCTAACAAAGCTTGTATCCAATACAAAAGTTGCATTCCTCTGAGATTTAACATTTATTTTTCATCCACGCGCTCCACAAATAACATGTTGCAGATGTACCACCAAGCATATCCGTAATCAAAACATATTCAATTGTGGTTACGTTGGAGCGAGAAGCCAGTAGCCAGGAAGTTAGGTACTGTCGGAAGGGGAAAAAAAGCAAGTATACTTCACAGTTCACATATAAGAAACTATATAGGCACTGGGCAGAAGGAGAGATAAAGCATCGGTTTTCATGGCGAAGTCAAGCACAGTACTGAAACGTAAGACTTTGGAAACCGAAAGACATTGACGATACAAGCAAACAAGCGGGGAGCGAGTCTTCAGCACGTTGCAGCAGGACGCGACAGCACGTCAAAAGTGAACAGGAAATTATTCGCTCAAAATATTCGTTAAATGCTAGCCATGTCAACGCGTAACTCTTTCAAACTGGCGCTTTGCTTCTGGTGCCATGAAATGTCAAAGTACGGCTCACTGTCCTTACTTCGGTCGCAGCCTGTCATTCAGCACGAAACCCTAGCACTAATCGTATTTACTACAGATAGCCATCTCAAGATAGAAAAAACACTCACTCAATAAATTGTCTGAATGGTCAAACGTTCATGAATAGACATTTGCTCGTTAGATTGGAAAGTTCGAAAGCTCCGTACGTAAACAATACAGATTTTGCTCCATCATGTTGCCTAGCAAGACAGCCCAGCCGTGTGTACCTTTGTTGCTGTAGTCATCGGCCAGGATGATCTCCTTAATGAGCTCCGGCGGTGACCGGTTGAGCACACTAGTGGCAGTACGCAAAAGGGTAGTCCAGTGCTCATTGTGGAATGGAACTATTACGCTCACCGTCAGCAGCTTGGACACGTAGTGCTTCTTCTGGCACCTGCGCCACACAAGAAAGAAAGTTACCACTCAAACCGGGACTAAGCTCACTACAAAACTGGTTCAACTCGTTATAACACATACAGGAGTGCAAAAATCGAAATGAAATTTGGAGCAGGTTGCGGAGAGAAAAACATTGATTATCAGAAAAGACCGAGTTTGGAGTAGTACGAAAAAAGCTTACATTTTAAAAAATATGTACTAATCATTAAACATTTCATAAATCATGCAAAGTGAATGCGAACACTTCTATTTCAATAAAATTAGTATTCTGAACCACCCTACTAAGAAAACAATGATAAACTCTACATTAGCATTCGCTACGCCTGTCACATCCTTTGACAGACTCTGCGAATTCAAATGTCGGTCTTCCAAGCTGGTGAACTTGAGATTCCGGAGAATAATTAAACTAAGCAGTAGAGCCGAAATGGCGCTGACGGCCTCCCGCGCTGTCTGCGTCTAACATACACTGATATAAACTACGACAAAGAAAAAAAAACATAGCATATTGTTACAGTAACACATAACGTAACCCGATAAACATAACATAACACTAACATAAACTCCGATAAGAAAAAAGTGAGTTACAATCAACGAGCGCCTGTCGCGTTTCATTGCGTTAGCTGCGCTCCCTGGCGCGATAGCAAATAGCGAATTCAGAAATGCATGGCAAAACAGCGCTTGTCTGTCTCATAAGCCAGACCGACGTTTAAGAACTTTACCCCAAGTAGCACTCGCGTACTTATGCCGCAGACTTTACGATCAATATACGAAAGCAACTGCTGCGATTCAAAACACAAATGTTCCAGACAGACTCGGCACGCATTTACCGTAATCCACTAAAGCAGAAACCACGTCTAGGACGAGCCACTGTATCGATATGGCTAAAGCAACGACGGCAGATAAAAAGAAAGCAAATTTCAAATAAACCCACAAAAACTGTAAAAAAGTAGAAAAGAGATGAGTTAGACAAAAAAAAAAAGAAACCACTTTTTGGCAGACTTTCTTTCGGGCGCGGGGTTTCCCAGTAACAATTTTTTGTTTCTGAACCATAAAAAAGCTTGGTTGTACCGCGAGCGGTTTCCGGGAGCTGCCGGATGAAAATGAATACGAGCTTTTTCAGTTATTCACCCCACCAAGTCTACTTTTCTTTCTCAATTTTTCCTTGTTTGCGTTCTTTCTCTGGCAAGTGAGTGCCTGCCGAAGCGGGGAGTAGCAAAACTGTAAACACCGATGCTAGACCGAGAACACGCATACAGCGGGACAGTCAGAGAGCGAGAAAGTAAACAAGCGTCCCCACAGAACGCTAGCAATATCACCGAAGTACAGTACGTCGATCGAGTACGTCGATGTTGTCAAGTTTGTGCAACAACATCCTCGGCAAGTTCTAAATACGATAAATGTCAAAAGCGGCCCGCGAAAGTGATCGCGTAAAGCCATCTTCAGACTACGTGCGCTACGTACGCGAATTCTCGGTAAGGATCGCAAGCGTAAACACAAGCAATGTAATCAGCTTGTTCAGATTTGGGTGTATTTAACGTAAATTATGTAACGTTTGGGGCGTAACTGTCGGCGCGCCCGCGAAGTTTACGACAAATACTGATGCGGTCGTTACGTACGACCGATTAAAGCACTTTCGGTTTTCCCACTTTCCGTTCGCGGTGCTCCCGGCTTCTTTTAGATTCCGCGTCATCACGCGCATATTGCAAGCCACGCAGTAGCGTGTCTGTGCAGCTGGTTTGCCGGACTGGAGGGAAGACGCGTTAACGCGTGCGTTAACCAGCGCTCGTCGCGTCTTCCTTTCAACCCGATGAACCCAGCCACGACCAAACACGCGAACATTGCTAGGCTGCAACAATTGTAGCGAGGACGCAACGCACATTCAGGTTGGCGATCGGTACGTCGTAAAAAAAAGGTATCGTACCCAAAAAAATCAATATAGACATGCGTGGTCGCTGGCCACGCGAACGGACGATACAGCAGTTACGCGATTCATCATTCATATGGGTATAACGCATATTGGTATATTGTGTGTGTCTCTTTTGTGTCCTTGTCGTGGTGCGCTATAGCGATATGAATGACGAACCCCAACCAACTAACCCGGCAACGTGACTTAGTAAATGCTACGGTTATAACTGATGAGACTGCAGTATGAATGTGGCCTAATTTAGTCAACGAGGTAAAGCGGCAAGCAGGCTCAACAAGGCTCTCGCTGATACTCGCCTCAGAGGTCTTTAGAAGCGAAGCTAAGATCATTGTCCCGTTAGAAATAAATAAGGCTTACAGCGCGCGAGTGAAACCGTGCAGCACCCGTTGCACCCGCACCTACAACATTCTCTTTCGCACATGTCCTACGTGCTAGATATCTGCGTCAATCGCCTACCTTCTGAAACACATTAAACACACGAAACAGAGAGTGACAGAGGCCAAACGCTGCACCCTTTTGTAGCAAAATTTCTCCCTGAATTCTTAGGTCACGAGCGCACATGCAATATGCAGTAGTAAGCCACACGTAGCGCTGACTCTTGAAGGATGCATATAAATGGGGAAAATAAATGCATTCATTTTTCGTTTACGAAAACTTTTGCAAAAACTAGGTAACGAAACGCGTTGAAAAACTAGGCAACCGAAAGCAAAGCCCCACACAAAATAGTTACGCGTTTGTATAACTGCAATCAGGCTTCACCTCAATATGACTATAATTGCGTGTAAGCACGTCCCATATAGCATGTAATATGCACACGCGTCAACAAGTCATTATCATGGCTCAAATATAACAATTAACATGTATATACAAAGGCTTTCCAACAAAAAATAATTATTTATTACTTTATTATTTATTTATTCATAACATTCCGACACATCCTAGCCATCGTGCGAGTTACCTAGTCGTAGTGGACTCCAGCCGAGTAATTTCACAACATAGGTTCAACATGGTCCAAATACAGAATGTGTGCGCTTAATTCTTTCTTTCTTTTTTCTTTTTTTCATTCCGCACTCATCAAAATGTAGCACGATGGTGCTTCGGTAAAAATGCTCAATTTCGAAGAGTGCAGACACTTTTCAAAAAAAAAAAAGAAAGAAAACATGAATACGCAGGAAGCGTGTTTCCTTATAGGTGGATACGGATCGAGCAATCACTTTAAGCGTAAATACCTCAATTGAAGCAACCAGTAATCGCCGATCGAGTCTGCGGAGGTATTTAAAAATGAGCGAACTCCCGGTGACTAAGTACATAGTCATCTGAGAGTGGTTGAAGCCAGACTGCGTGCTGACCCACCTGAGCACAACTCAGGCGCACTAGCTTTCTTTGCATCTTCTGCGCATGCTCCGCCCGGCGAAGGACATTGCGATTTCTCTATTTTTTGTCATAAACGTCCTTCACTCTATTTTCGGTCATTTCAGATAACCGAAGCTCAAGTGGGACACATAGCTTCTCCCGAACTACGCATGTGTCTTTCCACACCGCATGCGACAGACGTTGCCAATTACAATGCAACGTTCGAACCGTCCACATAGAAATTAGAGGCCATCACCCCAGTCCCCGACTCGGGTGTGTGGTAGTGGCACTCGCACCTCGGGGTGTCATCTTACGGAATCTTTATTTCTGCGCAAGCTCGCGTACTTAATGGGCCTCCTAGGATCGTCAAACAGGCGCCCTGTCGGGGCCATGTGACATTTACTCCACATAGTTTTTTTTTCAAAACTTAGCTGCAACACCTCATAGGTAATCTCATCCCTTAATCAACTTTTAGTTACACATCATTACCCTTCACACCTATATATTTTAAAGTAGATTATTAGCAAAGGAGCGTTCGAAAGGTGACTGGAACGCCAAAGGCACCCAACAGGAAAACAAAATTGATGCGTTACTTGAGTTGTATAAGCATGGCGACGGCAACGTGTTGTCTCTGCTATGCAAGCTCTGACCGATACTGTGAACAGGAACACCAACGACGGATGACCAATAGGCAATACGGATACTTACATACACTAACCTTTACATTTGCATCACTCGAATCTAGAGCATATTGCCCGAAATCAAGCTCGCAAAAAAAGCATTGCAGGAGCAAATCTGCGTTGCTTCAAAAGTTCGCCGATGCACACGACGCGACGTTCTCCAGAGACTCGTGTACTTCGAACAGGACCCGAGCGCACGCTCGCTCGCTGCAACCACGCCGAGTTTCGGGCTGCGACCTCCCCTGGGGTGTCGCCACAGGAGGCCGTAAGTAGATATGGACAGAGCAAAAAGAGCAGTTTAAAAAAAATATGAAGCGACAAACGGGTGCGACTGCCGCGGTAGATCCGGCGGAAATATCGCTAACGCAATATGCGTGTTCCCGGGCGCGCGCATAAAAGCCACCGGCACGCGAGACGGGAAGGAAGATGGGAGTGGAGCTGGCGGCGGAGGAGTAAGTTCTCTCCACAGGGAGCGTCTCCTCCAAGTCAAGGGACGAGCGAGAAGAATGAAGAGAGAGGAAGGAGAGATTCGTGAGAGCACGGAAGAGCTGAGACGATGCCTTGGGCCGAGGTAGCACGCTCACCGAGCGCATATAAATATTACATTGGGGCACGCACAAGACCACGCCGGGTGCCAAGGCTCGAAGGGCGCACGAACCGCTTCCTCGCCTCCTTTCTGCAGGGGTATAATGCGGGACACGCGACCCTTCTGGCCCGCTCAGACACCTATGCCCCGGGAAGAAGACGAGAACGCCCGAGGGCATATTCGAGATGCGGGAAACGACAGCTCACGCTGGGATTTTCTATACAGCGAAGCTGTCATATATTAGCCGGCTCTCGTGTAAGAAGAGCCTCGTGATGAGAGCGAGATTGTTCAGGCGCGAATGCGGGACTGAAGCACGCGGTAACGCAAACGCTGTCTAGATGGCGTAGATAGACAGTGTCCTCATCTTCGGCGTCGAACAGCCCTCCGAATAAGACCAGCGCTGACAATAATCCCGAGCCTGGACACTTCCATCAGCCCTCAGACTCTTTCTCTTT